TTCGAAAGTTGGCACCAGCCTTTCCTCTTTTCCGTCTCGCTTTCACCCCTGCACCAAGTGTCAATCTTAATTGCATATTTGATCCGCAATGGCTCAGAGGATAGAGCGTTCGCCTTCCCATGAGATGGACCGGGTTCGAATCCCCAGCGATGACTGGTCGGAATGAATCCGCATCCGGCTTGCACCGACCACAGTGCTGACGTAAAATATCCTCAGTGGTAGAGGGATCATGGGTTACAGTCCAATTGCTGTCAGGCTAACCGTGGGAGGTTTTCGCGGTCTTCCTCTCCATGTAACGCTAATGCGGGTTAGTTCCATCAGTTAAAGTCCTCCACGCGGCAAATTTCTCCCAATACTTGATCCAAGAATTCCCTTGTCTGTTGGATTGGGTTCAAAATTACAAGGCTACGGAGATGAACAGTTGACGTAAACCAGAAAAATTGGGTCTGCTGTTCAACGACGGTTGTAAAATAAAAATAAAATAATTGCATATTTCAATTCCTGACTATCAAAATAAGGGTAAGCAAAAGTTTGAAAAAAATTGAGTAAAAAATATGGGTTCTAGGAAGATATACTAAAAACACCATTTTGAAAAAAATCTGTAGCTTCCCGAACAAAACTAATTTATTCCCACACCAGCATTAGGCAAGATCGAATACTTGTATAAATACAACAAAAAATTTGTACCCCAATGTAGTGGCACTTTAAAGCACATTTAGTAAATAAAGAGATAAAAAAAAAGTAAGCCATCAGTACACAATATTAACATGATGTGTAAAATAAAATAATTTTAAATTATTTATATGTTTTCAGATACCAGGACAATCAACTGGCCACTATGCGGTAGTCCATTTCCTATTTTGTCAATTATATTTTCCTATGTGTACTTTGTGAAAGTCTTGGGTCCCCAATGGATGAAAGACAGACCGCCATTTAAGATTGAAAGACTTATTGTATGGTACAATATTTTAATGGTCATCTTTTCAGCAGGCTTCTTTATTTATGTAAGTACATTCAAATCGTTCCTTTTTTTAAGATTTGCTGTTCTAAAATTACAACTGTAGTTTGGAGTTTTGTTGCTTAAAAACCGTTCAATCAACTTTGCTAGAAATGAGAGTCGTGAAGCAGTTTTTAGTAAAACACGGCAAGACCGTAAAAGTACGGTGTCCAAAATAGAAAACGGACCACTCTGAATAACTTTGATCGGATCTTCATGTTACAGGTCTCTATCTTAATGGTTCGAAGGGTTGACCTCAAATGTTCTAATTAATAAGAGCAGATGATAATTTATGCTACACAGGCGCAATTACACATTTTCTTTGAATAAACATAGCTTTTTTCAACGAATTCGGATCTCTCAACTCAAAAATATAGGGGGTTGTCGCAATCTGGGAAATATGGTCATTTCAGTTTGGTCAAGAGAGCGGTCAGAAAATTTGTCCTCATAATGTTAATTTTACTTTATGCGTATTTCACCATATCTCGGGAACTTATACGGCTAATTGAAACATTTTTGCATACAATTGCAAAGTTTATCCAAAGATAATTTCATGCAAATAATAATTTGTAGTAAATATTTATTATTTTTTTCCAATTTTATTTAATAAAAGAAGCAAAGAGTTTAAACTGTAAGGTAAACTATTTTTTGCATGATTTTAAGGAATGCAATTTCACGTGGTGAAATACAAAATTTGATCGAAATCAATCGAATAGTTCCTGAGAAATCGAATTTAAAAAAAATGGTATATTTAAAATTTGATTTCTCAGGAACTATTCGTCCGCTTTTGCATAAATTTTGTATTTAACCCTTTGCACTCTGATGTCCTCACTGAGGCACCATCAACAGTCACCACTTTAAAATTATGAAATTTTATACTTTAATAATTATTAACCACATTATTTGAAGAATTTTAAAATTGTATAATAACAATATTATATTGTGTATTTTAAATGCTATTGTACTGATATTAGATCAAGCAGCTTTTAAAAGTACTCCGAGTGCAAAGGGTTAAATCATGTAAAATTACATCCTTTAAAGTGTATATCTTACAAATTAAAATTTTTTCAACTATCATAAAACAAATAATAAATAGTTTCAAAAAAGTATTTTTTACGTGAAATTATATTTGGATAAACGAAATTTATAATTGTGAGTAGAAATTTTTTTAATTTGCCTAAAAAATAGCAATTGCAAATATGCGCACAAAATAAAATTAACATTGAAAGGTCTAACCAAACTTTGGATTGCTCTCCTGATCAAATTATGGAGACCATATTGCTGTTATCCCTTATATTTTGGGGATCAGAAATCCGAATCTGTTGTGGGAAAAAGGAAAAAAATATATAAAAAAAGAGAAAGAAAGTTATTCTAGTGGTAACTAATGTATTATTTTTTTTATTCAATTGAACTTATTTTCCATACCACTACATATAAATGGTTTAAAAGTTCATATGCAATGCCGCTTTATTGTGGGTCTGCGGTAAAACTTTTAAAATGTTGGAAAAATTGTCAAAAATTTTGAAAGCTTTGGTTTGTAAATGCTTACCATTGTATAAAATATTTTGCAAAACCGTACTTTCTGGCAGGCCAGCGTGCGTTAACCCTTTAATGGACCATTTATTTCTAGTAAAGGTAAACTAAAGTATTTTTGGAATTGAAATTGATATAAGAATAGTAATTGATATAAGAAAAAAAAACTCATTTAGCTAATAAAAAATTAGTCTAAATTATGATGCCATTTTTCTTTTTGGTGGTAAGTATATTAACACGACCTATTAGGAACTCGTCGACTTTTATTTTTCGTTATTTATAAAATGAATTTTATGAATGCTACAAACTTCAATAGGAATTATGTATTTTTTAAACTTTTTCTACCTTTTTTTTAAACTAAAAAATGGTTACCAATTTTATTCAAACGCACTTCAAGAAAGCTGAAGTTGTTAACAAATGGAAACCTAAATTAAAAGTGGTAAAAAAGTTGTGGTATATATACTTACCACGGCCCTAAAAAGGGTTCGTGAGTTTCAAAATAAATAATATGTATACGCTTAACGTTAGACGTTGAAAATTATTCAATTATGGTCATTTTTGCCTATTAATAAATTTAATCATGACGACTCATCTTTATGACAATATAGCGTTGAGCGTCAAGAGCAATCAGCGATTACTATTGGGTGGGAGGGAGCAAGTACTATGAGCTAAACTAAAGTGCGTAGGCTAAGCATAATGAGTTAAACAAAGCTGAATTATGTGAACAGTGGTTGTTAAATGGAACTTTTACTTTATGATTTCAATAATCTTTTTAAAGTTGAAAATTAAATTTTTTAACAAATCAAGAAAATGTAAAAAATTAAATAATTACTTTTTATTATAACTACCACTTGAGTTTTCAAATTTTTTTCTGTATTACTGCAAAAATAAAATAAAAAGTCTCAGAGAATAACTTTTGATTTGTTTGATTGAGTCTAACAATGCTTACAACTTAGAGATATGCAGTACACAAAATCTGGTCTGCCGACTAGTGCGCTTTTTGTAAAAATATTTTTTGTAAATATTTAAACCTTTTGAAGGCCGTGGTAAGTATACTTACCACCACTTTTAATTTAGGTTTCCATTTTTCAATAACTTCAGCTTTCTTGAAGTGAGTTTGAATAAAATTGGTAGCCATTTGTCACTTTTTAAAAAACGCATAAATGTTATAAAATACATAATTCCTTTTGAAGTTTGTAGCATTTAAAGAATTTATTTTATAAATAAAGAAAAATAAAAGTCAGTAAGTTCCTAATAGGTCATGTTAAATATATTTACCACCAAAAAAATGTCATTTTTATAAACTAAATGAGTTTTTTTATATCAATTACTGTTCTTAAAACAATTTCAATTTAAAAAATAATTTACCTTTACTAGAAATAAAGGGCCCATTAAAGGGTTAAATTCCAAAGATTTCAGAATTTTTGATAATTTTAAAAGCTTTATTACGTAATAGCTGGAATAAAATGGCGTTGTATATGAACTTTTAAATCATTTATATGGAGTGGTGGGGAAAATAAGTTTAAATTAATAAAAAAAATTACATTTGCACATTAACTTAGCTACCACTAGAATAAATTTTTACAAAATGCTTCGAAAGTTGGCAGCCCTGCATAAAATAATAAAGCACTATTAATTTATTTATGAATTAATGTTAAAATAAAAGCATTAATTTTTAATAAATCAATTCCTCAAATATTAACATTAAAAATTAAAATTTTTATTGCCACTGTCTGAGTTTCTCTGAAGTTAATTTCAAATGGAATTTTTTAAAGAGTTTCTAATTTTCTGTGATAATAGCGGGTGTCATAAATTCAAGGGTAAAATTACAAAATGTACTTTCTGAAGCTTTTTGATTTGCTAAAAAAAATGAACAATTCGTAAAATTTAAAAATGCTATGCAAATGAGAAAAAAAAGTTGAAATCTAATGCTTTGTGTGATTCTGAAACGAAGAAAATGTTCTTGATAATAACTATTTAACTAAACTAAAATATTATAATTAACTAAAATGTTTTCCCAATGCAAATGAATAAATTAAACTAGTACTTTTCACCTTGACGTTCAGACAAATTAATTTCAAAACAGGTTTAAAAAGAAACAAAAATCATGATCAACCGAACGCTATTAATACTATACTATTACTATACTACTAATACTATTACTAACATTCAAACTAATAATTAGATATGTTAATTAAATTGTAACAATATCAGCACACATTAAAAGTTCGACTAGTAATAAAAATTTGAAAATAATTGAGTCCCACTATCCAGTAAATTTTATGTTCAAAGTCTTATCTATTTCTCGAAATATTGAATCATAAGGTGCATTAACTTTTTGTCTCTTTAAAAGCACTAAATTAATCATAACTTTTTCTTTTTTTTTTTAAACTTTTCAAACATATTTAATTACTTGATTAATAACTTCATTAGCATCAAAAATATACAAATTAAAAATAACAGCCGACATGTTTCAAGAGACAAAATGGGCGCCTGCTTTTGAGCTCTCAAAAGCAGGCGACTATTTTAAAGACTTGTCTCTTGAAGCATGTCGGCTGTTATTTCCAATTTGTATATTTTTGAAACAAATGAAGTTTTTAATCGAGTAATATCTTTAGTTTCTTGAGATTATTTATTTAATAACATTTATTTGTGTTTCTAAAACTATTAACTCTTCATTAAAGCCTTCTTTAATATTTAAACCATATCGTTTGTTTTATTATACAAAATGGCGACGAAGGTCGAGAAAGATTAAAGAAACAAATAGTTTTTATTAATTTCTCTTAGTCAAAAAGTATTTTTAAAGGAAATACATCTAGCTATTAAAATTGGCCAACTTAATTCCTAAAGCCAAAAAGAAATTGGAACCTGACAAATTTTCCAACAGCCTCAGAAGCACTTGATACCGCTTTTCAGATTTTTCCCTGCTGTTGCCACACGGATAGAAATAATCACATTTTATTTCTTGATATCTATTATATTATTACTTATACAGTTGCATTGTTACTGATGATAGATTTCTTTCTAATTTTATTTTAGGGTGGAAGCTATTCATACATACCTCCTTGGGGACAATTTAGTTGGATTTGTGAACCAATCAACTATGCAGATGATCCCGATACGATAAAAGTAAAAAAGTTCTGAATATTATGTTCCAACTGCAGTTAAAGTTTATAAAACAATTTTATCACTAGAAAGACTGAAACTTAGTGTATACCTATATTGCCCAAAAGCAGTCAAAATGACTGGATTGTGACTGAATGTGTAAAGAAATTTGCTTAAAATTAAATTCTAATATTCTCTATATTATTTACAGTTATATAACGAGTTATTAGTAAATATTAACAATAAAAAAAATTATATGTTGTACAAAAAATCACAAAATTCTAAGAAATTGTGTCATTAGTGTCTTTCTAATTGAAATTAAAAAGCAGTCAAAATGACTTCCTTGGCAATCTAGTATTAATAAAAAACGTGACTTTAAAATTTTTTTATATCATGCCACGATGCCGTTGTAGTGGCATAATTATGTAAACGGAAGAAAAAAAACTATCCAAAACGATAGTTTTCAAGTTTTAAACAATTGCAGAGACGACAACTTGGTGCGTTTTGAGGAAATTTTTATGCGGTGGTAACAAAATTAATGATTTAATATAGGATTCTTAGCTCAGAAAAATTTGTGTTAAGCTATTTTGTGTACCATTGCATAAAAAAAAGTTAATATAAAACACAACTTTTTCCGATCTGAGGGGCTTTTGGCGAAAGCCTGTCAAAATGTGTGTATCTCTCTATTTAATTTATAAGCCTTAATTGAATACGCATGTACCAAAATGTATGTTAATCAATAAACCTGTTATTTTTCTTGGACTGGGGTTTTTAACCCTTTGGGGACGGGTGATTCAGAAAAGCATTCGTACAAAATCAGGATCAGGACGTAATTAAATAAAAGACGGTAACTTAACCGGTTAACGCCCAGCGTCATATATTTAGGACAGTTCCTTTTTTCAAAGACATTCATTGTGGTGGGAAACTTTTTTCAGTATTTTCATTTATCTGGATGAATTAAAGGATTCTCAGATACCACAATGATTTAGTTATTTCTGATTAGATCTAGAATTATAAGGAACAAGCACTTTTTGATCTATCAAAGACTTTTTGAATGCTTTAACAGTAGAAAAACTAATTAATTTCGATAATATATTATACCACTTTTTCCATAAAACCACTTTTTGTATCATTTCAATTTATAAATTTGGGACAAAACGGGTTAAATGTAGTCGTTTTTAATTTGACAAACTTACTTTGCTTTTACTTTAATTATTATTAGTTTAATCATACATATAATCAATGTTAATTCAAACTATAACTAAAGTTTTTATTTTGAACAAAGTAATGGTGAATTAAATAAATCAAACAATTATAACTCCGCCCACAAATAAACTGCTAAAGAAATACTTTGATTACCAGCTTTATCCTTTTACCCTGATTGATACGGTTTTATGCTGGCACGTATTTGTAACAGTCGGCGCGAAAGGGTTAAAGAAGGGTAATTAACGAAATTTATGTAAGTTTTGAACTTTAACTCTTTATCCTTTCATAAACTTTTTTGCTTAGAGCGAAGCACTTAAAAATTTCCCATATTTTAATATTTTTTGAAGTTCAACTTTCTTTTCCAAAATCGAAATCCGTAGTGGGAAAAATAGAAAAGAAAAAGCCAATTTGACATGGTTACATTGTTGCGTTTCGCCTAATTGCGAAGTTCTGGTCTGATTCGTTTTGTAACATTATTTAACCGAAAATAATTCTTTCGGCACGTTTTTAGGCTTAATATTTTTTTTTCTCGAGTTTAATTATAGAATGCGTAGGCATTTTGGAGACAGTTTTAAAATTAGTTTACTAACTTTGTCTATCCAATATGGACTATAGGTCAAACTGTCATTTCGCTCTAAATAGCCTGAGAGATAATGTTAAAAAATTTCAGTAATTTTAATCTCTTAATATTTTTTTTAAACATCTGTGCGTTAAAACAAAGCGATTGTTTTTGGCCTAATTTAAGAGCGTTTATAGCTAAAAAATGAATGTTTTTTTTTATTGGTGGCATTAAAAACGTGCGTAAATAAAAATTAATTATAGTTAGTTAGAAAATTTGCCTCTAAACGAAAGCACATAAAAGAAATATGGTTATAATTAGTTAAAAATTAGCTCTTTACTCTCTGAAGTCCCCGGGAAGAAAAAAATGTGAAGAAGCCCTTAATTTTGTTGTTATTAGTTATTACTAGAGCCCGGATTTTGATGACCTAAAAAATCTCAACTAATGCCCTTAAAAAGTGCAAAAAATGCCCTTAAAAAGGGCAAAAAATGCCCTTAAAAATCCAAAAATTGTGCAAAAAATGCCTTAAATAAAGTAAAAATATTGAATTAAAAAAATGTTTTGCTCTTTAAAATTATTATGAGTCATTTAAAAAATATAAAGCAATGCAATACTTGTTCTACGTTCATTAAAGTTTGAAAAATTCGTTTTATATCCTAAAATAACAAAAAAAGGAAAATATATTGACACCAAAATATTTTTATTTTGTATAGAAACTTTAATGGATATAACAACTTCCATCTCATAATATTACTAAATATCAGAATTACATTGGATTATTAAATGTTTTTTGATAATTTGAAATGTAAACGAGCGTCTCTTGTCTGAAAGTAAATTTTCATTCCTGCAGAAGCTTCTTTCAACGTCTACTGATGTTATAGATGCGTACTTGAAAAAGACGGTCTCACTTACTGACAATTCTTCTTCAATTTGAAAAGATTTTGCTTCACCTGTTAATATTCTATAGATTTTCTTCATTGTTTGAAAGCCAGTGTAATAATGAAAATTGATAAAAAATAATAAAAATTGGAAAAAATTAACAAAAAACTTTAAAAAATTCATTAAAATGCAAAATACGCCTCAAAATTTAAAGAAAAATGCCCTATAAATCTAAAAGAATGCTCTAAAGGACAAAAAATGTCCAAAAATGCAAAAAAATGCAAATGTCATCAAAATCCGGGCCTTAGTTATTACTATCTCTCATGAAAACTTTTTATTTTATTTTATAACCGTCGTTGAACACCCTCTCGATTTTGGGCTCACAACTAATAATGTTCAACTCCGTAGCCTTGCAATTTAAACCCAATCCAGAAGACAAAGGAACTCCTGGGTCAAGTCTTGAGAAAAAATTTTGTATTCGAGGAATACTTTTGATGGAACCCACCCACATTTGTGTTACATGTTCAGGAAAGCCACGAGAACCTCCCACGGTTAGCTTGACGGCAGGGGGACTCTAACCCATGATCCGTCTACCGCTGAGGATATTATACGTCAGCACTGTGGTCTGTGCAAGCCGGGGGCGGTTTTCATACTGACAAGCCATCGCTGGGATTCGAACCCGGTTCATCGCATTGGAAGGCGAACGCTCTATCCCCTGAGCCACCACGGCTCTCGTGAAAACTTTATAAAACGCAGGGAAGCTTTCTGCAAAAGTTTTAATAAATCGGTTGCAAATTAAATAGTAAAATTTGTTGAATAAGGAGTAGCTGAGCAGCGATGGCTCAGGGGATAAAGCATTCGCTTTCCAATGAGGTGAACCGGGGTTCGATCCCGGTGTTAGTTGATCGATACGAATTCCGCATCCGGCTTGCACCGACCACAGTACTGGCGTGAATTATCCTCAGTGGTAGATGGATCATGGGTCAAAGTCCCCTTGTTGTCAAGCTAACCGTGGGAAGTTCTCGTGGTCTTCCTCTCCATGTAACACAAATGCGGGTTAGTTTCATCAAAAAGTCCTCCACGAAGGCAAATTTCTCCCAATACTTGATCCAGGTGTTCTCTTGTCTTCTGGATTGGGTTCAAAATAACAAGGCTACGGAGTCGTAAAACCAAAAATTGGGTCGGCTGTTCAACGTCGGTTATAAAAATTATAAAAAAATAAAATAAGGAGTAGCTATATAGTAGCAATATATACAGGATTTTCATATTATGCTATTGTTTTATTGCATAAAATTATTACAGAAATATACAAATTCTCTACATAGAGAATTTTAATTCTTCGCTATTACTTAATTCTTTGATTTCATATTCTGTCAACGTATGCAAAAGTGTTGAGCATTAAAAAAAAATTCTCACTTTTTTAATTTACCGGTCAATTAAAAAAACACGATTGGCTGGAATGTTATCCTTTTTCTCCCTCTTATGATAATTTAAAAGAAAATATTGTTGTTAAAATTTAATTTAAATTAATTTCGTTTTAAAAATTTTGTCAGAAATTAATTTGATTTTTTTTTAAATGCTCATCAGTTTTCTTAACGTTGTATTTTATTATGGAAACATTTATTAATTTATAGCTCATAATTATCTATTTTTTAAAAAAATGTATTTTAATTTTTAGATGATTTCTATAGGATGGTGGTTTCTTTTGCTAAAAATAGCAGAATTTTCTGATACGGTAAGCTTTGAGTTTAATTTTTTTCTCCATAATATTTAATTTCGTAAAAGATATAATGTATTAATATTTTGGAAATCGTCGCATAATGATTTATTAATTATTATGATTATTATAAATATCTTGATATTATTTTATAGTTTCCTCATAATTTTATTAATATATTTTAAATTTTAAGTATAGGTAATTTTAAATAAAAATTCGATATTTTCGTCTTGTTTTTTTTTTTTTTTTGTGTTTCTATTACATTTGCTAAATTGTGTTAGATGATATTTTATAGTTAATTTTTACCTAATTTAACCAATAATGTAAATATTTAAGTAATGTAGGATATTTTAATTTACAAGAAATAGTAGTGTAAAGATAAAAGCCTTTCACAATTTTTATTTTATTATAAAATTTAAAGACGTTGGTTCTTTTAAATATCGGTACTTTTCATTGCATCATTTTCGGAAATTTTAATAGCAATTTTTTTACCTAGTTAATTACCTAGTAATGTCTAGTTATAATGTAATTAATAGAAAATCCTCGTGTATATATTTCCTAGCAATTTTTTTTATCAATTAATAATTTGAAAACATTGGTACTTTTAAAAATACTGGTTCTTATGAAAATATCGGTTACCTTTAATTAAAATCTGAATTTTTGTCTGGTTAAAACTGTGTCTTACTATTTTTTCTTCCACCAGCTAAATTTGGATAATTCTCTAATAATATTATTATTTACTAAATATTCATGTAGTCTTATTAACATATCAAAAGTATTCTTCTAAGGCAGATTTTTTAGAGAAAATTTATAATTATTTCAGATATTTTTTGTTCTTCGTAAAAAGTTCAACCACATATCTGCTCTTCATGTTATTCATCATTCATTAGTTGCTTGGGGTATCTGGATAGGCATGAAATTTGGTGCAGGTAAATTATTACATATTTCTATTACAATTAGAACTAGTGTTTTTGTTGTCATAGGCCAGGGATGGCGAACCAATGGCACGCGTGCCATTTAAGGCACGTGACACAATATTTCGGGCACTCCAACGATCACAAAATGTTCACTATGAAGCATGTTAACAATTAAATTAAAATTCATAAAAAATTAACAATCTAACAATAAATAACTAGCAAAAAAAATAACAGTTCTCCTTAAACTAACATCTTATATCCCTAATATAAGTTACTTGTCATCTAATCTGCAACAATAGAAGTCACACTGATGTTACTTTAAGTTGAATTACGCTTATAACTGAGACATTGCAAAATGTATTTCCTTCTTCTTTGTAAATAAAAAGTTATGAGTTGATAGTATTTAATATTATTATTTACCCAATAATCACGAAGTCAAAACTATTTGTCGGCACGTCTATGACCTCATTAAAAAAATTTTTGGAAAAAATGGCACGTTAGTGCATAAAGGTTCGCCACCCCTGTCGTAGGCCATTAAAGCAAGGGGTGCGATTGCTCTTGTTTTCCAGTGGCGCCATCTATGGTCAATAATTCGACTTTTGCTCCATTCATATGTCACACCCGTTTATAGAGCGGGCCCATTTATACACCCATTCAATCATCCACAGAACGTAATTTTGACCTGAATCAGAGAACGATCAATCTCCAATTATGTACCCCTAGAGCAGTGTTTCCCTAACTTATGACTTTTGTGTACCCTTTCTAAATTTTTCGCAACGCTGTGGACCACTAATAAAAAAATGAGTGAATTTTTGCTGTAAAAAAATTTGCACGAAAGTTAAAAGTCACAACTGGGTGTTGACACTACTAATTATTAACTGCTAACTCTGCAATATAGAAAAATACGTAATCGTAAATTTTCATGGCTGACTTTGTTTTCAAAAAAAAAAAATTGAAATTTTCGTTTGTTGCAAGATATTTCGCATAAGAACCCCTAAACTCGTGCCCCCGCTAAGCTGTTCCTGTACCCCAGGGGGGTACGCGTGCCACACTTTGGGAAACACTGCCCTAGAGATATAATTTGTTACAGGAGCATGGGGGGCTGAATGAATGGATGTATGAATGGGTCTACCCTATAAACGGGTGCGACGTATGGTGTGGCAGAAGTCGAATTCTTGACCATAGATGGCGCCTTTGGAAAAAAAAGAACCATCACACCCCCTCTGCCTCAATACGTCAACAACAACAACAACAATGATAAGTGGAACCCTAGTTCTCCTTGGAAGAGCTAAAGGCGTTCCGGTAGTTAGTACTTTTTATAACCAGTGGTAAATTCTGAAACCTCATATTATATTTAAATCCAATCTTTATTCATAATTTATTTTACCTTTCGGTTGTCATTATGAAGTTCCTTTAAGTAAAATTAAGAAAGAAGAAATAGAATTTTATAACAAGAAATTAGAATTTTATAATAAGAAATTTCATTTTATAAAACAAAATATAATATTTTAAATAGCAATACATTGAACAAATTAGGAAAACATTGCATTAGTAACAAAATGAAATACCTAACTAATATCTTTAATAAAAAAATATTTGTTTCTCTAATAATCTTTTAAGTTTTCGTTTCGAAATTAATCATAATCTGTCTTAGTCTTATTTTATTCATTTTCAGCTTATGTAGACACACCAAAAACAAATTCATAACTAAGACTAGAGAATAACACAATAACTAAAAATTCAACTGTCTGACGAAAAATAAAATTTAAGATTATTGACAATAAAACAAGCTAAAGATCATCTTATCTCTAATTAAATATTCAAAAATAGTCTTTTATAGGTTATGACATTCTAATAAACTTTATTTATATAGTTGGATTGATTATTTAGGATTCCGTAAATTGATTATTTAGGGTTACCGTAAAAAAAAAATTGGGAATCGCTTGATTAACGAATAAATTTTTTTGCCATTATTTCAAGCATACCACCTTTGAAGAATCTTATTGGGGGAAAATTTCACCACCACCATTGTAATTCAATGATAGCTATTTATAATTTCAATATCATAAATATTTGATCTACCTGAAAGTTTAATTTGCAAAAATATTTTTTTTCTTATTCTTTTACAATAATGCAAAATATTCTTTTATAAGCAAAAATGGTAGGGTATTTAACCTTTCATTCAATGAAAAGGTTTCAGTTAAAAGAGTTTATTTTATAAACGTGTATAGATTTAATAAAATCAAAAATGAAATCAAAAGAATGTAAACGTATGGGATCGCAAATTAATATTTAATCAAGGAAAAAGCAAAAACGCTATCAAAATCTGACAAATCACAGAGAGGAAAGTCAAATATAATTAGCATCGAGACATGTGTTATTGCCGGAAGGGGAAATAGATCGAATTTTTTAAATTAATAAATTGTTTTAAATGTATATTAATTAAAAAAAATTTCAATTTTTTCACACGATCAAATTTTTAAAATTCTAGCCAGGGGACAAGTCCAGGATATTTCTACTCACTTGAATATCAATAAGTGGGCCCCCATATGTGAACTCCCCCCCCCCAATTTTTATAAGAATTTTAAAGATACATATTATGGGAGATTTTTGTGGAACATCTTTTATTTTTAATTATTTTTGGTTGTGGTGATAATAAAAATTATTACATACCTTTAAAAACATATTTTGCTTGCGGAAATTGGGTCTGATAATTTTTTTTAATTAGTCTTGTTCATTTACATATTATTTTATAACAATTATTTGGCTCTATAACTATCAATATTTTAATTGCAGGAGGAAGTAATGCCTTTTTCCCGTTTATAAATTGTTTTGTGCACACAATCATGTATTCATACTACTGTCTTGCCGCACTTGGTCCAGGAATGCGAAAGTACCTCTGGTGGAAAAAGTACCTCACAATTATTCAAATGGTAAGTGGAGAATTGATATCGAAAAGGTGGCAAAATGTTTTGAAAATTCATTTGTGCCTTAAAACCAAAACAAGTTATTATTAGAGACCACTATCCCTATGAAGAAGTAAAGTGTACAGTTTGTGTTACGGAATTGCTACTAGCAACTGAGTTTGGCGGGACAGTCCAACACCTCCTAGAAAAGAGTAGGCCTCTGCACGGGTTACCATAAATATCCTTTAGTAGTCCAAACGTAATGACATACGCCGTATTTTCAACCACTGCGCAGCTTAGTACCCCGAACGTAATGACATCTTTCTTATTTTTCATCAACTGCGCAATTAACTTCGTCACATCGAACTACTAAATTGATCCGTGCTGAGGCCTTCATACTTCTAGGAGGTGTTGGACAGTCCTGCTTTTTGGTAGACTGTCCCGCTTCCCGCCAATTTTAAAAAATGCCCCGCTTCTTAGAAAACATCTGCATTTCTTATTTTAAATGTACTGTAAAAATATATTCCTATTATTTATGAAGTATTATGGTGAATATAAAGAAATAAAAAATACATAAAATGCGTGCAAAGTAAACTAAATTAGGCAATGTACCAAGTTAGATTTACTCGGTGGTGTGCGATCATTGTCTTTACGTCTCGGATTAATTCAGATAAGTGCGGACTGCCGTTAGACAGTGCGGTTTGTTGTTTTCAATTTGACGTTCGGTGTGACTCATTATTTGATTGACAAAGGTTGAGCAATGGTCGCCACAAAGTAACGGTCTATAAGGTAAAATTTAATACTCTTTTTTAGCCTTTGTAATAATTTTTTTATTTATTTCTAGTATTTACCCACAAAATAAAAAATGAGTAAAAAAAGAGGATGCAAATTTAATGAAGAGCTAAGCAGAGAATTTCCATTTATTAAAAGTACCAAAATAGACTATACGGTACGGTGCAATAAAAGCAATACTGAATTTTCGGTCTCACATGGTGGAAAAAACGATATTACTAAACATCTAGCGACAAAGAGGCACAAAAGATTTTTTAATAATGCCGCTTCCTCATCTAAAATGGAACAATTTTTTCGCAGTGCTAGCTTTAGCAACACGGAAAAACAGCTAGCATTAGCGGAAGGGCTATTTGTTTTCCGCACCATAAACCACAATCAAAGTTTCAGATCAATGAATTGTACGTCGCAAGTGATCAAAACATTATACGACAAAAAATATGCATGTGCAAGGACAAAAACCGAAGGAATTATTTGTAATGTTTTTTCACCATATTCGTTTTCACAATTGCATAATGAATTAGAAAAATGCGCATTTGTGTCCATATATTCTGATGCTTCCAACCACAAAGATTTAAAATTATTTCCCACAGGTGTTAGATTTTTTGATCCAGAAACAGGAATTAAAATTAGAATATTAGATTTTGTTTCATTGCCTGATGAAACTTCACAAATAATCTTTGATTTAATAAGTACTATTTTAAAAAAGAATAATTTAAGCAATAAAATTATTGCCCATTGTGCTGATAACACTAACGTAAATTTTGGTGGAAAAGCTAGAAGAGGCATCAATAACGTTTTTACGAAACTTAACGAACATTTGAAGCAAAAAAATATTGGAGTAGGTTGTGCAGCGCACATTCTATACCTATACTATTCAAACAGCATCTGACTTACTTCCAGTTGATGTTGAAAATATTTTTGCAAACATTTATTCGTATTTTTATATATATATTGTGCGTGTTGAAAGTTTGACTAAATTGTAATTCTCATTTCATCCCATTTGTCCCGCTTTGTCTCAATAAAAATGTGGTCACTATTTGGGTCCTTTTGTTTAG